CGTGACAAAAAACGAGGTAAAAGGAAACAAGCATTTTGTTGGTGTGGGGGGGGGGGGACAGCATAGGAAGAAGCCATATTATGAGTGATAATTAAATAAAATTGATACGATTCAAGGGGCAAAGTGGCTACAGTATTTGATTTCTGGAATTTTTTTTTCCCCCCTTTCAAAATGCTTCTCACTATTTTCTTCACTGAAAATAGGGTGGAGAATTTTTAGATGCTAGTTTTGTTTAGCTCAGGTCATTTCACAGGAATTTGCCTTAATAGGCAGAATATAATTTTAAAATACACCATGTGCAGTCACTTTATTTTAATGTATGTATGTTTACTAGTTCTACTATGGTCAGTTGAGGTTGCGGAGGGCTCCAGTTACTGTGACTAATTACATGTTTCATTTTTTGAAAGTTTTTGTTTTAAAAATACTTCCGGTTAAAATGGGAAACACTGTAAGCAGTAATTAATGTATGTGTTTTGAATCTTGTCTAGTATCTCTAACCTCTCCCTTTGATAAACTGTTTTCACGTGGGTGCAGCCATTTCAGTCTTTCACAATTTAGTCCAGTGTTGCAATGTGAAGTTGGAGAATTATATGTGACACCAAAGAAGATAGGAAAGAAAGATAAACTTCCATTGTTTGGGAGTGCAAGCATTATAGTCCTATTAAAAAATGAAGTCTTTTCAAATCCAACACCCTGTTTTGCAGAATGGTCAGCCAAGGGCTTCTAGGAAACACATGTACAGGGATGGAGGGAAATAGTCCATTCCTGTTATTTTTCAGTATCTGCTATTCATAGGCACATTACTTCTGATTTGGGAGACAGAACATAGTCATCGTCAGTAGTTCCTGACATGTTTTTTTCCATATTCCCTTTGAGGCCATCTATACCCCCAGTGGTATCCTCTGGGAGGCTTCAAAACAGGCAAGACTTTAGGCACACATCTCACTCCAAGGCCCACCCATTTGTACATGCGTGTGACATTGTCCAAAGTAGAAATGGGTGGAGTTTGAATTGCAATGCTGTGTCTACCATCTTGCCCACTTTGACCCTCCCTTGCAGATACCACTGTAATTTTATTACTATTTTATTTTTTATGGAATTCATACTTTGCCAACACCAAGAAACAATTTATTCCATGGCTTTTCCATGGATACTGTGAAGAAGCATTTAATATTACCCATATCATCAAGCCTGTTTCTCATCTGGGGCAGTGAGAAAATGTCACAAAACAGCTTATTGGCTTTACTCTTTGTCCTGCAAAGCATTGCATTTCCCCTTTTCACGGTTCATCTCATATCTTCCTGCTTTTGCCTGTGACCAGATGGGATCCAGGCAAGATGAACTAAGTCAGCAGGTTTGCTTAGAGGTGAGTTATCTTTCCATAGCATAGTTTTTGTGCAGTTGACCTCATTATCACAGGTCAGTTGTTAGATGACTTCAATAGTACAGTTACTAACACTATTATTTTGAAGTTGGTAGACTATGGTCATTAATCTTTTCATACTGAAGTTCTATAATGCACATCATATGATTCAAACAAAAGGAATGCATAATATTAAAAATCAAGATAGCACACAAAGGTTTTACTCTGTGTAAATGTAACCCTAATCTGAAAGATAACCACCTGTTATGAGGTTCACATAGTCAACAAGTTTGTCAACAATTTTATTTTGCTTTTTAGAACATTCATACAACATTTCCAGGTTTCACCATTATTCACTAATAATAATGTTCATATTCTTATCTAGCTCAGTTTTAATTTCCACTTTCAAGTGCTAATGAGGAAGCATATGATTCCCAGGGAAGTAGCTTGCATTTTGTGACATGGTTTGACAGCAACCCAAATTTCTTTCAAATGAGATTTAGTAGAAAAATAATTTCTCTCAAATTACAGTTGGCAGTCATAAAGCATGTTGTGCTATAAGCACCTCTTCAATCACAGAGGCATATGTGACATGGGGTGAGGTACAAATGTAGAGGACAGAAAGAACTAAGTACAAATAAGGAAGTTGAGCAATTACTCAGAAATTAGATTTCCAGAAATCTAATGACAAAAGCATAAATGCAGGATGTGGTGGGGTTTTGGGGAGGAAGCATTAGAGAAGGTTATCAATGAGGAAAAACTTGGGAGAGATGAAAAATCTATTCCATTTGAATTTGTATAGGATTTATCCCAATCAACGCAAATGCACCTTTTTCAGAATGACTATATAAAAGAATTACACACAATATATATACAAAATATAAACTTGTTGACAATGAGAACCTCATAACAGGTGGTTATATATAATATTATATTACAGGAAAGTGGGATGAGTATTCATGCAATAGGTCTATAAGGGGATGGAAGAAGAGACAGAAATGTTCTAAAGGGGATTCCTTGGGTGGATTTGCTCCCCAAACCTGACAAACCTATTTCTGCTAAGAACTAGAATCCAGATGTAATCTCTTCTGGAGAAGAAAGAAAAAATGAACCTTATTTTGGGAGTGCTCATGGATTAAGAAAGGCTCTGATTCCTTGAGTAATACACAGTAAAGAATTAGGAGCTGGATTCTAACAACAGAGTACCTATACTGGATATAGCTTTTATTGTTTGTGCGTGAAGGCACTTTGCTCAGGCACACTAGATTGTTCAGGCTAAAGGTTGAAAAATACTTAGAATGGCAGCAACTGCCTGATGACAGTGGTGTTTCATATAAACACAAACACACAGACACACAATCTTCCTCCCAACTTGAGGGGGAGGTGGAACAGGCTTGTCTTTTGTGGAAAGAGAGACAAGGTTGATGTTATTCTCACAATGTTTTATCTGACCCTTTCCCTGGCTTCTCCTTCCAGTGACAGCAACTCCATTGTGCCTAAGCCAGATTGTAATATTTAATCTACTTCTGAACAAAGGTAAAGTGATGGAAAACCTATCCAGACAGTAACCACTTTCCATAGCTTTCTAGCCCACAACATCCCAATGTTTACAAAGTTCTCCATTTATTCCCCTCAACCCTTGTTTTCCCTCCACGAGCACTTTTAAGCATGCTGCAAGTTTCCCTACCAGTACTGCCAATACAGACTTTTATGAGGCACATTTATTATCTTAGATATTATTAATATTATAAACTAATATTTATCCCAGAAGAAGGCATTAACAAACCACTTCTGTACTGCTGCCAAGAACACTACATGGAGGTGTCAATGAAATCAGCAGGAGATGAATGCAGCTTGAAGGAGACTTGACTTTAAATGAACATTAATGTCGCAAATACCTTGAGTCAGAGCTCATATGCTGAAGTGAAATGGGTTACATTGTTCCAGGTTGTGGATAAATGTTTATCTCTCTCACACAATTTGTTTAAATTATAATTTATTTAACAAGCGTTCGTTCAAGCGTTTATTTAACAAGCGTTCGTTCAAGGTGCCTAAATATATTTCTCCATAATAGGAAAAGACAGACTGGGAATTATCTTTCACAACCTCATACCTCAAGGCAATGAGCCATCATTTAGCAGGTTTTCTATTGTACTGAAGTAGGAGAAAATGGGCTGGGATCTATATTTCCCTTCTGCAATCCAAATGGGCGGGCCTAATATTTAGTGTTAAGATACTGTACCTTCTTAGTGAACAGCATAACAACTGTAAGCATGTTTCAAGAGCACCAGCCCATTGAGTTAACTTTTGAAGCAATACCTGCCTTAAGTAAGATCACAGCAGGACCATGCTCTGAGGTAAGGAACCTTTTCTTCTGGAAAAGTACAGACTGTGTTTTTGTTATTTACTTGTGCTGAGATTTTGGGGTATTAAAAAAAAAAAAAAGAACAGAAAAGAGCAGAAAAGATGTTAGAAAA